CTGTTGCCAGGAGCCAGCTTCTCTTCCAGGCAACAGCTGCAGACTCCTCCCCCACTTGCCAGACCCTTCTGCAGGTGGTAGAAGCAAAGCAGATGACAGGAGTATGTTGCCACTGGTACTACGGGGGTTGGGGAGACAAGAAAACTAAACAAGAAGAAAAAAAAAAGTCCTGTCACAGTGCCAGCTCTTATAACCCATCCTCTTCTGTTGCCAGCATTCACAGTGCCTGCTGCTAAGGAGACACCTCCCTGACTCCAAGCTTCTCTTCCAGTAGGTGTCAGCATCTGGCCCCTTCAACCTCACAGGTCTTAATCCTGACGAGGAGATAAAACAGATCTCCCTCACCTTTATCCCTGTGATTGAACATTCAGAGCCCTACTCTACCCGTAGATCAGAAAGTAGACATAAGACACGGCCCTAAAAAGGAATGACTTGATTTTAACAGTAGAAAGGCAAGTTCTATGGACAATAACATATAATGGATCAACAAACTGTGAACTCCTGAGAAACGAAATAAGGTCTGCCCATCCATGTTGCTCTAACAGTGACTTCCAAAAACTTTATTTGAGTTGGAGTCTCACTCTGTTGCCCAGGTTGGAGGGCAGTGGCACACTCACGGCCACCGCAGCCTTGACCTGCTGGGCTCAGGCAATCCTTCTGCTTCGGCCTTCCAAGTAGCTGGGAATACAGGCGTGCGCCACCACGCCTGTATTGTATTGATTTATTGTAGAAATAAGGTCTTGCCAAGTTGCCCAGCTGGTCTCAAATCCGTGGGCTCAGGCAATCCTCTCACCTCAGTCTCCCAAAGTGCTGGGATTATAGGCATGAGCCACCACGCCTGGCTTCCCAAAACTTTTAGAGTACAATGGACAAATGGATGGATGGATGACGACTAAGATGAAAATCAGAAAAGCCTGATTCATTCCAGCAGAGGGCACAAGCAGCATGGGACCAGACTAGGTCCCAACCAAGGACTCTAACCTAGGCCATCAAAATCCTGGCAACTTTGGTTTCCAGGGATTTTTTTGGTTAGTTTTAAAGGCACAGTTCTTGCTGTATTTTATCTTTTCTCTTTCTTATCTATTTATTTTTGAGTCAGGGTCTCTGTCATTCAGGCTGGAGCACAATCACAGCTCACCAAAGACTTCAACACCTGGGCTCAAGCAATCCTCCAGCTTCAGCCTCCCAAGTAGCTAGGACCACAGGCGCTTGTCACCATGCCCAACTAATTTTTTTTTTTTTTTTTTTTGTAGAGACGAGGTTTCACTATGTTGCTCAGGCTGTTCTCGAACTTCTGGGCTCAAACAGTTTCGCCTCAGCCTCCCAAAGTGCTGGGATTATAGGAATGAGTCACTGCACCCGGCCACCATTTCTCTCTCTAAATGATGAAAAAAAAAATCTAATATATCCTAAAGAGTAAACCCACATCGTTTGTCCAGAAGCCATTGGAGGAACTGCCTTTAGTTCAGGGAATCCTGGTGACCTCTGATTTCTCCTACTAAATTTGTGCACCCTGCATTCTCCCATTAAGGAGCCTCCTGGGAGTCTGTGAGGTATTATAATATGATCCAGGAACTAAATTAATGTTTAAATCCTTGAAGGCTAAGGACCATAAAGGCAAGAGAATTCTACACAAAGCTTCTGTACCTGGCTTAATTTCCCCTTGGCTGCTTTACAAAGTGGCTTTTTGTTGCTGTTATTTTCAGGAGACAGGGTATGTTCTAAACCATGGCAAAAACTCCATCCAAACTGAAAAATTTAAATAATTAGGGGGTGAGGAAGAGGGAAAAATAATAATAACTAGTATCTGCAAGAATAGTAATGTCCAGTGTAGAACTGTAGCAGCTATATTATATATTAGATCAACAGAGTAAAGGGGCACTCTGATAGTCTCCCAGCCTGCTGCAGAGAAGCAGCTTTGTAACCCACACAACAGTCATAGAAATATACTACAATGGTGCACGTTCTAGTTATTTGGTCACCACAACGTAAGCCAAAGTTACCACAAAGCATGTCATTTCATCAAATGAATGAACATAGCTGTACTACATTAAAAACTCAGCTCTGTGCAGCTTCCATGAATAAGAGGCAAGATGAAATAATTGGAAACTACACATGATGGTTTTCTAGGCCTCGAATTCAGTTTACCAAGCAAAAAGCACGACTATGGGGGGAGAGCGGGGGAGAGCAGGCAAGCACCAGGGTCACAGGGTTAACATGTGGGTTGAGTCTACAGCTATCCAATTCGAAGAGAGAAAGAAGCAAAGACCTAACTTTATTAGGTAAAGTAAAATAAAAAATTCCCTAAGAATAACAAGTTACAGTGATGACTATGACGTTAAGGACACTGGGTGTGACGGCTACCATTTCTCAAGCACCTACCAGTTGCCAAGCACTGGGCTAGGTCCTCAATCAAGTGATCTCATGTAATCCTCGATGATCCCATGAGGGATTGCCACTTGACAAATAAAGAGGCTCAGAGAAATAAGTAAGTTACTCTAGGACAGAGCTAAGTGGCAGAGTCAGAATTCAATCTCAGGGCTGCATTACTCCAAAGCTCAAGCTCTTTCCACGGCATGATGCCGTCTCTCAAGAATAAAAATATGACACAGCCCTAAGGATTAAAAAAAAAAAAAAGTTAAAAATTAATCCCACACACCTGTTTGATCCCTCAGGTACTCCCTGGTTGAAGATGGGTGGGGTGGGAGTGGGGATGGGAGACAGAGACAAGATTTAAAAAAACAGTGGATGGGAGGAAAGAGTTGGTGGGATCAGAGCCAGGACAGTTACAATGAGGCCGCCTTCCCTCCCTCTGCCAGGGCCAAATTAGCCACATCTACATACCAGGGCCTTCATCCCAGGGCAGCAGACAACCTTGGTTTATTTGAAAACGCAGTATTCATGAGAAAATTTCTAACATAAAAACCTGAACAGAAACTAGTTCTACACTCCCAGTAAACAACCAACAACTCGCCTTCATTGTTCTGCATGTGCCATTACACACTTTTCACCGCTTCTCACTTTTTTCCTGTGATCTGCACCTCCCTACCTGCCTTCTCCCGCACCCTTCCCCCCTGAGCTCCAGAGGGCCCAATCTCACCCAGCTCCCGCTTCCTCCCAGCACAGCCAACCTCTCCCACATCGTGCCTTACCAACTCTAGAGCTTCTCAAGCAAAAATCCAGTCCCCAGACCCTAACTCCCCCACGACCCCAGACCTCACATCCTTCCAATCCTTCGCTGTCCCTTCTGAAATGGGACCCCATCTCACCTCCACCTCCGCCCCTTCCTTCCCCATACCACCCATCCCCACCCCTTGTCTCCTCCACCATCCATTCTTCCCTCTACCAGGCCCCCAGTCTCTCCAACCCCTTGTCTTCTGTCCTCAACCTCCAAAACCCCCAACTTCACAATCCGCAGCCCAACTTCTTCCCGCCCTGCCCCCAACGCCCCACCCCTTCCCTCTTCCAATCTCAGCTCCTTTCGTCCGTGCACCCCTCAAATCCCATCCCTCTCCCCCCTCCCCAGGACAGCAACCCTTCCAAGCTCTCCCAACTCCCACGCACGCCCCGCCC